CCTAAGCTATTCTTTGCATGCCTATCATATTTAATTAGCATTATCAAGATTACTATTTTAGGAGCAGTTTAATGTTTGAAAAAGAGGCATCTTCCTTCTCCCCGGATCATGTGACGTGTGAAAATCAGAAAAAATATTCACATTCTACGTCACCGGCATCCCTCCACTTGTACTTGTCACACCTTGCACCTCTACATAAGTTGAGGTGGATTTATATTTCACTCCTTGGTAACTTACGCCATAGTTAAATTATAATATTGGCGCAAGTTACCCAGAAATTGGCTTTTACTTATTGCAAACGATAGCTTGTCCTCTCCGCGTGCTGCATGAATGCTCCCACTTGGGAGGAAAACTTGGGCCACAGGAAAACCTGCACCCAGAAAAAAACGTGCACTGCTGTCCAAAACCCACAACTCGGCTAACCTACAAATACATGGGGCATGTTTTTGGACACCCTGATTGCTCATTGCATCAACTAATACCCATCTCATTACTAATTTTCAGCCTTACCTTACTAATTTTTGATACTTTTAATGCATAATTAGTCCCATAATGACTTGATTAATGTAAATGTCTGAACCTGGATGCGTTAATTTATACGAAAACGAAGAAGACAGCATGTGAAATAAGATAAGCTTGGGGGAACTGAAGTGGTGAAAGAGTGTTATTATAAATAGGAAAAACCGCCCAAATCAATGTGTCCTCCTTCGGGAGGACATATACTAAAATTGGAACGATACAGAGAAGATTAGCATGGCCCCTGCGCAAGGATGACACGCAAAATCGTGAAGCGTTCCACATTTTTTTGCAACTTTTTTATTTGATAAAAATTAAGAAAATGTTAAACATTTCACGGCAAAGCGTGTTTCACTTTGAATATCGTGGCATTAATTATTTTAAGATGAATTGTCTCGTCCATTGTCAGAGATAAGATTATCCCAAATAACTAAAATTAGTGCTTCTCATTAAATTTATTTATGTAAATTGAAATTTGTCAGTATAAAATATTGCAGTAAATGTAAGTAACCTCGTAAATCAATCAAAAATATATATGCATGTATACACGCGTGATTTGTATTTTACAAGGTTCACAAATTATAATTTTAAATATATTTAAACTCTTTATTTATATAACAGTTTTGTTCCCTAATTATAAAAATGTTATATTCATTAATAATTAAAATATTAGCATTTTTCTTTTCAAGAATGCAAAAACAAAATGATAACCAAGGTTGTATTTTAGCAGGTTTTTTGTCATCCATGGATTCTTTTCTGAATCATGTCCCGTGCATAAAGTACGTCATCAATGGTAAATTTGTGATTTACCATTGATTTCAGTAAATTGTCACACCTTGACTAAAACATGGGACTTTAATTCGTACCACTGTGAGTCAGAATTTCTTAAAAATATCTGCATGCTTTGCGTCACGCCCTGTAGAATTGCATACAAAAAGTGTGCAGACAAAGAGAGCGGTAATAAATAATCGGCGAATCGTCAACTGCTCGTTGCTGAATTTTCATTGCAAGTTGAGAATTTCAGAAAACTAATTATCTTTATCAATTACAAGTAAAAATAAGTCAAATATAACCTACACACGTAGCAGGTAGTCGCATTATGTGGTAAGTTGACGTATAATTTTATATATATTTTTTTTGCAAATGTTGTAACTTAATCAACGTATTCCATACTTACAGATAACTTGACAAATGGATTAGAACCAGACGGCGGATATGTATGTATTTCTAATTTTTTCATACCAAGCCAGATCGTACTAAAACTTCGTACACTAACGTTCCACATAATCAGGATTTCAAAGATTCAAACATAGTTTTGCATGTTTTACATATTTCATGTTTTTCGTACATGTACATATTTCCATACATATTTTGAGGTTTTTCATAAATATAAATATTTTTATACATATTTCGATAGTTTTTTGAAAATATAAATATTTTAATACATATTTCAAGGTTTTGTTACATAAAAATATTTTCCTTCATTTAAGATTTAAGGTCTTCTAATTATTAACTTCGCACGATGATGGTGTTCAATTCATGTGAACGATTGGCAAATCCAGTTTGCATCATTTTATAAGGTTCCTAAGCCAAAAAACTATTCGAAATGGAGTTAGTGTCACAGTATGAGTCATTAAATGAAGACTAAAACTTAATGCTGTTACAATTCACTTATAAAAGTGCTAAAAAATTGAATCTTCACCAGGATAAGATACAAGTATAGTGGGCATTTTAAATTGAAAAACATTTTTTTGTGCATATTTTCGACTTTTTTAAGTACATATTACATACATATTTTGTGGAATTTAAGTAAATACATAGCCGCCCTATGATTAGAACCCGTCCCGTAGTCAATTTAGACTCACAATCTGATCTGAAACTGGACCGTGTGTGTAAGATTAAATACAAACCCAGGTGAAGGTTAAGGTCACAAATTAAAACTGTAAATATGTATTAATGTCAACAATCTTAATTTCAGACAAGGTGACTCCCCCCCCCTTCTGAATTTATCTGTTTTCTGAATCTGAATTTATAATGGTGATATCAACTCTAAAATTGACCTTGAGAGGCTTATCATTGAACTTATCAACATTTCAGATAAGCACATTTCTTATATCCAAATCGCTCCAAATTTATAATTTAAGCTTATTTGAATTTATAATGGTGATATCAACTCGATAATTGAGGCTTATCAATTTACTTATCAATTTTTTAGATAACCAAAATTTGTTATCAAAATTTAGATAAGCAAAAATCCCGGTGAACAAATCCAAAATACGCGACCAACATCTAATTATTTATATATGCTGCATATTAATGCATTACATATATAATTAAACGAGATCTTGGTTGGCGAGTGCAATTTTTAAAGAGAGTGAGAAATAAAGTGAGACGATTCTCATCCGGCCCTGCCACACGATGGTGGTGGATGGCCAGCAGAATCCGAGTTTCTCTCTCTCTCTGGAAATATGGAAACCGCATTTGTGGCACACTTGGTCTGGTTCATCTCTTGTGACCACTCATCCGATTTATAATCCGATCCGAGAATTGATTTACATAAAACTCGAACATTGTCGACAAAATCTTTGAACCAAACTTTCCCCAATCTTCGCTAAGATTCATTTATACGTAACTTTTGTTCATAAGTTATACGTACCTCGTAAAATTACCTTTTTTTTCAGGATAGCATGAAAATTTGAGCGGGGGGGGGGGCAACTTACTTGAGTATTGTGACCAGGCACTAGTAAACGGATGGATTTTTTAGTCAAAGGTGAGCAATCACTATAATGTTCAACAAATTCACGGCTAATTGCTTATTAATCAGAATTATATGACTCCTTAAACACAGAAATGTTTAAAATCAATTTAAAAAATGTTTAGGGCGTGAAAAATTTTTTGAGCATTTTTTGTGATTTTACCGTTTCGAGAAAAAACGTGGCTAAAAATAGACATAAAAACGATCCATGCAGCTACCCCTGATTGTGACTACCCATGCAGCTACCCCGTGTGCAATTATTTTAATCGTAAGAAAGTTTGATTAAATTCTCAGGTAAGCTTCGAAGCTGATAAATTTATACACCTTGTCCTGTACAAATACGACGTAATAAAAGAAATTATTTATAGAAGGATTCTCGGACGACATGGTTGATGAAAGAAAATTAGTTTATTTCCCAGCTTTCGACACTACACTTGTGTCATCATCAGGGATAAAATAATATTTGGAAATAAGAAACACGACAGTATTCACTCAATATAATAATTACAATTGTGTTTGTGTAATTGTTGTCACAGATGTTTTATGATAGGCAGCATTAGAGATAACCAAATTGGATTAAGTTGTTTTCCGGTGTCCTGATTTATGGTGATTGGACATTTTCTGATGTATAAACTTTTCAGAAATTATTATTTTGTATTAACCGATTATTTTGTATGCAAAATACGCCAACTCTTTGATGAACCCACGCTATAAAACGGTGTAATAATCGAGGTGAATATTTTTTTGTTGCGATTGTATCCTTCTGAGGTACCATGCAATTTTACCGCCTTGGATACAACTTGTCTCCAGAGGGTCAGGGTGGCATATCTACGTTGGCTAAATCCTGCCCCAGCCCCAATGTAAACGCAATGATGACAGAAGCGTTACCGACTCCGTTAGCAATGCGTTACCCCAAGATGACACATTGCAACTATGATTGTTACATACAGTAGAATTTCATAGCACCTCCGCCAGTACATATGTAGAATTGTCTCCCAATTATTTAAACTGTTCAATATTACCTCTTCCTCGGCAAGGAAATGGTATTATTTAGATAATAGCGTATCTCGATTGGAATAATGATTGCAAAAAATATAAAAATAATTTTCATATATATGTATTTCCACTACATTGAGTCCTTTCAATCCAACCTCCAAGGACATGATTTACATACACTCGTGTTGCAAAATAATTAAGCACGGCATTGAAACTTCCGCTCGTATTGTTCCAATCAGATTCGTATTCCTCTTCACTTCTTTTAATTATAAGTGTGAAAAACCCTTTATTATCACACTTTGCGTCATGCATTTCATTGAACAATGCACGCCACAGAATCACGCAAACTTTTGGTTCAATTCAGCAACCGCGGAATGACACTGGGACCCCAACATTGCAAGATACATGGGGGAGGAGGTCCTTCAACATGGACGAGATATATATATATTATGCTAAGAGATGTGCTATTCCCTGAGAGCTAAGGCATAGATTCCCACCAATATTTCAAGGGCATATTTTCTCACCAATTTATGCTAACATTGGGCGGACCAAAAATAAATCAAGGGAAAATAGGGAATCCCAAAATTCGTATGTATAAATATACGGAAGTTCTAGTAAAAAGTGTTGAAAAATTATCCTCGCACTTCCGCCGTAACTGTGTGTAGGATTTTGTATACTCCCGGGAAACAGATTTTGTCTCCACAGATTCAACTTCAGCCCAGGTGTATTCCGTTGTCGAGAATTTCGCACTTGGCCAAAATTTTGCACAGAAATGTGGCCAATATTTATTACATTGTTTGCAACAATTGCCCCGGTCCACCCACTGCCTTCCCATGTCCGTGGCGGCTTCACGATAAACAATGGGCAGTACGTGCTCACCTGGGAGGTGCGAGGTGGCATAGCCTACTTCCGGGCGGTTGCCAAGGGCAACGGATACGTCGGATTTGGCCTCTCCCCCAGAGGAACAATGGAGGCGTCGGATTTATTCTTGTCTGGAATGCATGCGAATGGCAGTGTTTACGCCATCGTGAGTTATTTCTTTACCTAGAGTTGTACCAATTTCCAGGGAATTTTGATATTCCCAATTTTCCCCAAATCCTTTTTTTCCTCAATAAGCCCAATATTACCATAAATTCATATGACCCGGAAATATTGCCAAAAATACGGGGGCCTATTATCGCTCCCACGGAATCAAATAACTGCAATTATTGTGGGGGATCGAGATCCACAAAACCGGAAGCTAATATTTGACGCAAATAAACGGTTGGTTCAATTTTGTTAAAGAATGGCGACAACTACTTATTTCCACAAAGTAAAAACCCTCGCCACCTAGCGTGTGTTGCATAGAACTAACATTTTTCCCATTTCCCACTGATTTAGCTGAGTGAGAAGACGTGTATTTTCCCACTGCGGTAAAAAGTGGTTTATACCAACTGCAACGTTGGCATAAATGTTACCGACCCTTTTACCAATGTGTTACCGTAGGATGACACATTGTAACTATGATTGATACCATACGGTGTAATTGCATAGTACCTCTGCCAGTAGTATTACCGCCTCCCAATTATTTTGAGTGTAGTATGATATACGGAAACAAGTACCAAAATATTTTGTACCATTAACACTCTTAATTAACACAAATTAACACTTAATTATTAACACTCTTAATTAACACAAATTAACACTTAATTATTAACACTCTTAATTAACACAAATTAACACTTAATTATTAACACTCTTAATTAACACAAATTAACACTTAATAAATTCACTTAACAAATTAACACTTAACAAATTCACTTAACAAATTAACACTTAATTATTAACACTCTTTTTAAATTTCTAAATCTCTTCTTTACACATCTTTAGGACGCCCATGGCGCGGGTGAGATGGATGCGAAGAATAATTACGAACTAATTCACGCCATGGAAGGACCAAGTTACACCGAGGTCCAATTTTACCGCCCCCTCCACACCAGCGATTGTGCCGACGACATTGAAATTGTGGTTCGTATTAAATTTTGAATATTATTTGTACACTTCAAATAATCCAGTGGAGTCCAGTGGAGTGGAGGCGGTGTGCATTTCGCGGTGTTAGTTTGGCTTAAATTTGACTCAATTTGGTGTAAAGTGTCACGCGTTTGGTGTAAGATGGTCACCACGCAGTAAAAATTTGTCACCGTGGTGGGGACAATGATCTTCACCACGGTGGTGGAATCACATGTTTATGCAACCCGTTGTTAAATTAAAACCGGATTACTTGCAGCGTAGAGTTGTACCCATTCCCAGAGAATTTTGGGACTTTTGGGATTATAAATTTGCCCACAATTTAAATACATACCCTGAGAATATTCTCAAAATTCCTGGAATTTATTATCTATCCTAGCAAATGACACAACCCTAGCTGTACCTATATCCACAATGAGGAAACTATTGGGAGTTTTAGGATTCCCTATAATTTTCCCCATACCTATTTCCATTCCCCAATATTACCCTAAATTCGGTAGAAATGTATGCCCTGGGAATATTACAAAATTCCTGGAATTTACAATCTATCCCAGGGAATGGCAAACTCTAATAAGGTAGTAGCATCTCATAACTTTAGGATTATAATTTTCAAATTTTGTTTCAAAAATTCAGAACGAGCCGCAATACGTGATTTGGTCGATCGGTCCGGACGGGGATGCGTTACAGACGCACGGACCACAAAATCGAGGCGCTGTCCTTGTGAACCTATTAAATCCCCCAATATTCCACTCCCAACATTTCACAGGGGACACAAAACTTGGACAAAATATGGGTAGCATGTGTCCACCAAAAACGAATTGAGTTTGGATCTATAAATAATCTATTTCCGTAATACATGATATTTGTTGAAATCTGTAGATACATAAATTTGTGCAGAGTACTCTTGATCCAGGCCAAGTTGAACTTTTGGGAAAATTGAGAATTCTTCGAAACTACGGCCCTCGTCTCAACTACCCCGGGCAGCGTAATTCAAATTCTTTTAAAAATACGCTTCCCGGAGAAAATGAGACAGAGGCCATGGTGTTGAAGAATTCTCAATTTCCCCAATACTTCAACCTGGCATGGTGCAAGAGCAAGTAAATTGAATTTCTTCTTGACAACATAAATATTCAGATGTGATTATAGATGAGTTCCATCAGCTATCGCCGCCGGTGAAAAACATTTTATTTTATTTTCTGGTGTTTTAACCCAGAAACCTGTTCAGTGGGTCTAAACTATTCGATTTAGGCAGTTTTTAAAATTTCCGTCCCCCACCTCATGTAATGCTCTGGTGAAAGCACTACCTTTCTCGGCACGAGGTGTCTACATTTCTCCTTCAATTGTGAACGAACCATAAGGCCCACTGCGGTCAAATTTCACACAAACCTTCCCCTGGACATGCTCTTGAGTCATTCTGGAGCCTACCACCCTAGGGTGAAACCTAGGGTGGGCGGGCTGAGATGCGGTCATTCCTAACCAACACAAGTACGGATTATCTCCAGACAGAGTTCTGATTAAATGCCTACTATGTGAAGAAAAAGATTTAATGATTTTTTAGTACCTATTCCCCACATATTTGGTGCCTAAAAATTTAATCGGTCTTAATCTGTATCATTTTCATACAAATTAGGGATGAATGTACTGGTACCAAAAAACCAGGGTTGATTTTGTAATGAATTGTTGCCTATTCTCTAACATTTTAATAATGCGGAAATTTCGCTGTTGAATGGGTACCAATTTGATACAGAGTTTGTACCGGGAAAAATATACCTAACGTACAACAAAAACTTCGCACTTGCTTGGCACAAATAAATCCTTGCCACACTAGGGCTACCTTTCTGTACAGAAATAGTGAGGATTTGTTGCCTTATTTTTGTTACAGCGTCCGCCATTTTCTAATTTTATGTCCAGCAGCAACATTAAGCAGTTTTGTGTCGTAATTTTTTTTGTCGACAACTCTGTCGCAGTGGTGCCAACTACTTGGATTTTGGACGATAACAAGTGTTATTTTCTGCATCCTGTTCCACCGGGTTTTCAAAAACTTCAAAAAATCCTAACTCACGACCTGACATCGATAATTGGCAAATTTGGGAAATCAAAATCAAAAAGCAATATGGTATGATATTTTTAAACACTTTTATTTGTATTTCATCTTGATTTCATTTCAAGGAATTTGGACCCCCATTTTCCAATTTACAGGATTTTGCAAAATAATTGCAGTTCCCGCTTTAATTACTGTTCATGTGGAAAAAATGTGGCCTTCGCCTAGCCAAATTTTTCTGAAAGGCAGCTCATGTAATTTCTTATAATTCTGCCAAGTAAGCTTTTGGAATTTCTAGGGCCACATTTTTTTCACATGAACAGTAGTACACGATCAAAATATGAAATTTATTAATGCCTATTAACGAATTATTTAATCAGAAAGATGAAGTATGTAAAAGCATAAATTCGGCATGTTGGCTAAGGGGTTAGTTGAGTGATTCCGATAAGACTGATTCATTATAACTAACGTTGCTAATACGGAATTTTGTTATCAATGCGAAATTTTGTTAATAACGCATTCACTTGTTTTATAAGTGATCCTACCTTATTTTATCTTAGTCATCCTATTTTATTTTTAATCCATTACAAATGTTTTCAGCGGAGAACGATATGCAAGATGAGCTTAACGATGACCACGTAACCCACATACATACATACGTTATGATGTATGAGAAGATGGTACATTTTTGGAAGGTAAATAGATGTGAGAAAGTATTTATCGAACATACATATTTACAAGCACTACTGTGGAATTATTATAGCCGGTCACCTCATTTGCATATTTTGACGCATTCGCGAGAGACATAGAGTTTATTCAACACGGAAAGCCCGTATCGCCGAAAATGGGCATAGTGAGATTTATGCAAATGAGGTGACACGCCTAAATGCGAGGATAATATGTCTGAATTTGTTACAGCCGACATCGACCATAACTTTGAAGATGATTCAATATCTTGCAGTTTTTCTATTCTTAAGACTTTTAAAATATTTAAAATTATGAATACGATTCAAGGTGCTAATTAATATAATTCATTATACTGGCCATACAACTTTCAAGGACCGTTCACCGTTGCTCGACTGATTTGGCGTTCACATGATTGATGTGATCTTTTCTTGCATCTGTGTTGCTAATAGATCACAGATATGTATGCAGATATGTAATAAATATCCAAAATATTCGTGATGTCCCCTTTGCCTCCATGACTAATCGAGGTAGTTGTTTTTCATTAATGTGTACGAATTTTCAGTATTGCGAGACAACTATGGACTGTGGAAAGACAGAAAATCTGTAACCATTTTTTATGCAACGCTTCTCATCATTCTGCATACATATATGTCTATGAGGGTATTCAGTATTTCTTCGTATCCTTAGTATTATTCGTATCGTAAAATAGTTACGACGGTTACGAGATTTTGTAAGCGTCGTAAGATTTTTGTCATCAAAAATCACGTTACTAAGCTTACGAATTTTAAGACGCTTGACCCCTTGTTTTTTCTTCGTAAACAGTTTACGAAGTAAAATAGTTTACGGTAAACTATTTTACGATACGAAGAAATAATGAATACCCTCTATGTAATACCTGAATATATGAACTATACTTTCATAATTTGGCAAATATTTATGTCGTGTAATCCATCACGACACGGTATCGACGATACATTCATACACACTTTACAAACGGAAATGCCAGAGGTTGCAGAACCATACCAGCCAAAAGTATTTTCGCTATGAGTGCGGTTAAAATTATTACAGTTCAATTCTATGTACCACTAGCTGAGGGAGCAGGAGAGAATTTCTAAAAGTTTATGCTGAAAAACGTTAAATATGTCGTCATTATAAACCCCAGTGGAAGTGGTGGTTGTGAGGATTTTCTAAGGAATCCGTCACTGAATTTTGAGAGTTTGTATGTACGAGGATAATTTTAATTCATGATTACGTATTGGATAACTAAATAGCAAACTAATTTAGCGTTTTGCTAATATTGACAGCCGAAAAAAGTTCATAATATGAGACTCATATTATGAAGGGTTGGTTAGGTTAGGTTAGGTTAGCCTAACCTAACCCCGTTTTATGTGAATATTTCAAACATAGGTATGTACATATTTTTTATTAGTTTTCACATTTAATCTTTGCTAATTATTTAATTTAGACAAAGAAACGGATTGTGGCCCCAACCTTAAAAACGAAGAGTGGGTCTATCTTTTCGACGCGGTATAATTTATCGTTATACATGCCGTTTCCCAATTTCAAATTTTTCGACCTGGTTTGATGCTAATGAGTATGACTTTTACCTTGCTACTAAAATTCAAATACAGATGGTGATTAAAATCGGTTCAGTAGTTTTTGAGACATCGCCGCTTTGAGGTGTGTCCCTATCATTTTATTTTGACGCGGACTGTAAGCGCCTTGATATATTGGTGCAATTTTTCAGAAGTCGCTAGTAGCCACACCACCTGGGGGTGTGATTTTGCAAATTCAAGTATGCCATTGTAATCCGTGCGACGTCCTGAGAAAAATGATATGTCGCATGCTAGGTATTGGTTAGGATTTCACAAAAGCGCCTATAGCCACACCCCTTCCCCCACCGCCATACACAAGAAGGTCATAGTGTTCCGGTGGGGCACACACAATATTAAGACCAACATGGTTAATATCTCATAGAAACCGTGTTTGAAATTGATTTTATACAAGTTTTTACACCTTGGACCACACCACCAGTAACCCCACATGGGTGGTGGTGACCTGCTGACCTTTTCCGCAATTCCCTGACAATGATGAGTAATTTCCCAAAGAATTAACAACCACCACATTCGAATTTCAATGCGTAAATTCATAATTCGTTAGAAAAATTTCTCCCGCTTTTTGACCTTGTGACCTTAATATCTACACTCTTAGCAACTTGGTAACAAAACCCAAAATTTCGCTAACACCGGCCGTCGGTGTCAACTTCAATTCCATTAAATGGTGTCAAAATGCGTTGACACCCTGCCCGTAACAGCGATATTCCCGCAATGGTGAGACCGATTGAAAACTCGGTAAAGAATTGACACCCTGCAGTGTTAACGCAAGAAGGAAAATTTGAACTAAACACTAGATTGTGTCAGTCTCTTTGCAGTGCGCAGTTCTGTGTTTGTCAGTTACTATTTTCTTCACTTCTCCTAAAAACACGAATAGATAAATTAATCTTCGTGTCGAAATTACTTCCAGAAAAAAATAATTTTATTGGGAACTTATTCTTGACTCACGTGCGTTAGTAAGCCATATTAATTTGGTTATTAATATTACTAACAATTATTTTATTTCGCCAATCTTTTAATCCATTTGTTTTATGTTTTCGGTCAAAAATAAAATTCTACGCTGGACCCGGCGATTAGCTTGGTTATCGCCAGGACCAACGACTAACGAGAAAGAAGTCTTCCTAATTCTTTCGAACAGAGTTCGCCATCAGTCAATTGTGAGTTTAATTCAATTTATTTTACGGCTACGTAAGTTCGTCTTTGGCATTAAAAATTGTTTTAAATATATTTTTTTTCCTATAATAATGTGTCATTTGGTTATAAATTTTTGCGATGTTGCGAATATTTGTGATTTGCGAAATATGTGCTTGAATTTGTTAAGTTTAAATATGGTATTACTGAATGTAAAATAAAAGATTTGTTATTAAAAGTCGTTAAAAAATTACCCCAATTCTTTACCAGATTATGTCAAAGCAAAGCAAAGTATGTGTTCGGTTGTCGCCGTCTGGGAAAGATTTGTCACTGATTGGTAGCATTCATATATTAAAATCCACATCAATTGATACATAGCGGTTTTGAATCAACATAACTGAGCGCCACCTCTAATTACATTCACGGTGTTGGTATTGGCACCGCAACGGAGTGAAGCATAATTGACACCGTGCCGTGTCAAATTAACACCAAACCGGTAGAGTCACATAGTGACACCGGAATGGTGTCAATTTGGTGTCATTTTTTCTGTGAGTGTAGGGTGTGGGAACGAATTTAAAAAATTTGAGAATATATATTTCGCTGTGGGGTCCATATTTTAAAAAACATTCGAAATTTTGAAATTCCATCTAGGATTGACGGCACAATAAATTCCCAAATTTTACATGTTGTTGGCCAGATTTGACCATATTTGACCTCGATTTACGGTCAAACTAGGTCACCCACGGGATAGAGCCCATGACGGGTTTTGGTCAAGAAATTGAGGGCTAAAACATACAAAAAAAATTGGGAAATTTCACGGAAAGCCATTTGCCCGACATAAGTTGGCCATGTCCTTTCAGGCTGAAATTATTCATGTGTTGGAATTAAAACAGTTTTACTGTGAAATATTGGTATACTTGCGAGAGGGCCCGGAGAACAAACGAAAATTTTCCAATTTTTGGGTGCCCAGCCACCATCATTTGATTTTTTTTGCATTTGCTGCTTGGCGTTTTCTATTATCCGCCCCAAATTTATTTCGTTTTGACGACACTAAGGTTGCGAAAAATATGTAATGGATTTTCAAAAAATGTGCATATTCTCATTACTCGAAAAGTAAATATGACGTTAGACAAGGCATGCACAAGTCTCGAACTGTACTTACAATGCCAAGATGAGACCACACACCTCATCTCGTCGCTTACTCATTCTTTGTTTCATACACAATTTTATCCCTTGATGTAAATTTTAATTCCGAACTTATTTACTGAGTAGTAAATTCTCAGTAGTAAAAGTTTTACTATATCTAGGGTGAACATGGGCGCCTATCGGCGCCCCTTAGATTTGGCGCCCAGGGCAACTACCCGGGTTGTCCGCCCCAACATCGGGGCCTGATATGAGTGCAAATATATATATATGCATATAAATACATAAAAATGGCGAAATTAAATTTATAATAGTAAATATAAGAGATCTACATAGTATTTTGGTCTGATCTACATACTGTGCAACCATATGCATGTATATTAACTGGACGAAAGCTTTTTACTTGTTCATATCCATCCACTGTATAGGATTTTCCTCCGAGAGACGTTGCAGTTTCTGGCCACACATCATCCGCAGGTTTAAAATCTTCCAAGTTGACCTGAGAAAAAGAAATGTATTGTAAATTAATATCCGTACATTCAGTATTCAACATTTACGTATACTCTGCCATAATGCAGCATCAACTTAATGTTCTTACATAGATTTATTAAGCAGTAATGAAGGGAAGGAAATTTGAAATACACACAAGATAAGTAAAACCATCCATCGGTGATGGGCCATCGTAAAGACCTAAAAATCAGGGGACACATAATTTTAGTTTAAATGTACATGTTTAGTAGGATTTGGACGAGCTTGAATTAAAACGCAACCTGCGGTTTATGTTGATCTGAATTTTGTGGTTATGTACACAATGTTGCGTAAGGAGTTCCGTTTCATTCACATTTTGGGGTATATGATTGAATTCCTCTCCCCAGAGCAGAGAAAGTTTCTCATTTTTCCGGGAACTTTCTCTGGTCAAACTATTCTGCACGGGTTACTCTCACACGCAGTGTTGTACAGATAAAATATACACAGTCATACACACTTTTAGAAACCTGGTATTGATCAATACTGAATGATATTGATATTTATATCACACAGCCGCATTGGTATTGAACCGATATAATACGTTGGTATAAATCCGGTTCTAAATAGTATTTTGCAGTAATAATTTCAATACTGACTGGTATTAAACTTTTAACCACGTGGTACTCATTCAATACCAACACGGTAGAGTCACAAATCAATACCTTGGTTTGCTGAATTTATTTAGAGTGCAGGGACCACATCATAATTATCTAGTTAATGAGATTCTATCCATTAAGATAATGGCGCATAATATATTTATACAAAAGTCATTAAAAAAAAACTTATTCCCCATGAATACTTTAAGAATACAGGGATTTCTCTAGACCCAATATCACCATTCTCAACATGTTATTGTTCGGATATAAGATTCTGTTTTTACCTTGCTTCACTTAAAGAGAGGTTGTGTATTTAAAAATTGTGAAATATACAAACAATATTTATCTGTGTATGATTAACATTGCTCTTAGCATATTGTATCTGTATGGGTACGTATGTATTAGTTGTTACTTCGAAATAATTTTCTTTCTCGCGTGTTACGGTGAATTAACGTTTTTTGCACGACAAAACGAATACGATTGTTATGCCTGAGGCAATAGACTTTTGTATGATGCAAGGCCAGTGACTGGTTCGTCATCCAGCTTGTTAAATACCTGGAAATCTCGATTGCTTATCAACAGCAGTGTATATATGTACAAGAGATACCCTTTCCAAAGTACATACCTACATGATGCAACAGTCTCCGCTTTCTTGTAAATAGTTGGATTTTGGAAGTAATAAATCCACTTTTGTCCCAACAAGTGCAGCTGACTTGAAAGATAAGTGCCTTGATTTCCTTCGCAGATAAAATGGACTCGATAATTTACAAACTAAAATCAATTCCTCTCACAAATAAATCAATCTTATTATCAACCGCTGGCGTTTTGGCAAGTTATTTATCGTGGAACTATATAAGTGGTCGGTGTTCTAGGCTCAATTTGGTGAAACCTTTCCTGGTATGACAAAATTTCTCTATTTTTGTAAACAGCATATTTTAATTTAATTCAATATTTATTAAACGTGGTTTCGATTGATCTCAACACCAGGTCACAAAATAGAGTAAAATATGTTACAATACTAATTAAGTTCTAATAACATAATTATCCTAAACTCTCAATAATTTTTGGGCCAATCCTGCGGGTTACAATCTTTAATCAGTAATAAAATTAGCAAGTCAGATACCTGCACTCAAAATAATCTGGTACTAGATGAAGTCATATATAGTCACTGGCCTGGTAATGGTCAAACTTATTATCAGATGGTAACAATAACATTACCGAGTGGTAAAAAATTGCCATCACGTGTGATCTTTTTGTTACCACTCGGATATGGATTTATTGCCATTTAATTATTAATTAATTATTACCATTTATTACCATTACCGGTAATAAATTTTCTATTACCAGACCCGTGACTATATATGAAGACCTGAGCAATAAAAGCCCCAAACTCAAAGTAAAAATTAATTTCGTTTGAAATTTTGTTATTTTTAAAAAGCCAAAAGTTTTGCTATATTTTCATGTCTGCATTGAATCGCCAAAGTCTCACAACACTAAAATACGGAGTGTGACGTGACCACATTAGCCGACTTTTAAATCGGCTAGGTCCATGCCCGTTACAGTTACCCAACAATACACATTCCATTGTTTCGCATAAATGATCCAGGCTCCAGTCGTAATTCAGTTACGTGCATAAAATTAATTAGTTGCAACCAAATTAAGAAATTCTATAGATATTAATCTTTAAAAAAAGATAACATATAGCACAAATTAAACCTCCGTCAAAAAATTATCCCCAGGGAGGTGATGCAGGGGATACAAAATCCTTTATCTGGAGGTGACGGGGGGGGGGGGGGGTTATTTTCTACTTTTAATCGCACCTGCAGACTCACCTAAGATATCCTTTTGTAAGATTTAGTTTATTTTAAACTTTTAATTTTTCATTGATAATATTAAAAATTGTTGTTGTAAATATGAGATATGAATTCCAGATGACATAATATGACATAAGATGAGTCTGAAGTGTAGAAATAAAAATGAAGTTGTGCCAAATTTAACACGTCGATTTCGTATTTTTCGATTTCGTATTTCGTCGTATTTTGCATTTTTTTCCGCGCACTATAGTTTTAAAAATTACAGGACGACTCAACTGAATTCCCATAAAATTAGTACGAGGATTTGGGAAGGCAGTATAATTTTTATTGTATAATGCTACATATGAATTTTTTCCCAGGTTAATATGGTTTTATTTGGCAAGGTTATTCCGCAAAATTTTACTAAATAACTGAGGAGGAGGCATTTGGGGTGTTGAGACTCACAAATCCGACCGAAACCGCAAAAAATTGAAGCGCATGATAAGTTAGGTCTCGAAATATTGACCTTTGACCTCAATACAAATATCACTAAAAATGAGTGACCAGCCAACCTTAACATTTAACATTTAACTGGCATGGCTATCTTAACTGGCATGGCTATCTTATCATGTGCTTCAAGTAGAGTTTCTCAACGTGTTCGGGTTGTAATCGGGTTTTTATCGGGTTCGGATTTGGATCAGGTTTCTTTCATCCGAAGCTTATCGGGTTCGGGTACGGATCGCATTTACCCCATCCGATTGTTATCGGGTTCGGGTTTAACTTCGGATGATCCGAAAACCCGATTCAATTTTGAATCGTAGGACTCTAGTTCCAATAATTTTTTAAACATTATTATTTAGCTGATAGAGTCATTTAAAATAACTTGATAATCAATTAATAGAACGTTTATAAAATATGAGGTACAAATAGACATAATTTATTTATGGAAAGTACTCCCTTTCCATGTACACATTACGGGATGAGAATTTAAAATTGTAGAGATTGGCGACCTTAGACCCCTATTTCTCCCATCCTTGAGTTGCTTAATTTATGAACGTTCCCAAAACATTGAAAAAATTAAACAGTAAAATCCATCAGGGATGACTATTGTGGGGAAAAAATATACACAGGAGAAGGATGGTTTTTTTTCTGAATAGAAAACGGAAGTTGTAAAATTGAAGCTTAAGGTTGTAGTTTGAAAGGTAATAGTAAGAAAACAAATTGGAAAACAATTCATTAATAACAAGAAATATTATAAGGGAGATTATATTATTATTTTATACTCATCGGGTTCTTATCGGGTTTCGGGTTCGGGTTCGGATAGAGTGTATCGGGTTCGGGTTCGGATTCGGATCGTTCCTTAAACAAATCGGATTATCGGGTTCGGGTTTATGTCGGATACCAATTGAAGGTATCGGGTTCGGGTTTATGTCAGATACCGATTGAAGGTATCGGGTTCGGGTTTATGTCGGATACCGATTGAAGGTATCGGGTTCGGGTTCGGGTTCGGATGAACGATTTCGAACCCGTTGAGAAACACTAGCTTCAAGTTTGTTACGGTTTCAGACGGATTTGCTAGTGTCCATACCCCCATGCCTCCTGAGTTGCCATTCAAATAATCTTGGCGTGAATGAAAATAAAAATATTCACTAAATTTTTACCATATCCCCAGGTTTACGTTAGAGTTCAAGGTGTCAAAACCAAACACGCCGCGGCTTCTTCTACCGAAGAATTTTACTTCCATCTCCTAACTTTGGTTGAAAAGCTTCTCGCCAAGAATGGCCACACCGGGCAAGGAAAACAACTAGAAGTCGATTTTAAAAAGCTACCTGGACAGGACGACGATCTCATGCTGAACTACGAGTACCAGCTTGTCAAACTCCCTCTACCTACCGAATTCCAGTACAAAGGCAAGACCTTGTTTTTGTTTAGATTCCAAGACAAGGATGACCTCGAAGTAGCAACCTTTCCGTGGAATCGAGCCTTTTTAGATGAATTTTTGCAGGAAGTGCTGAATATCCAGATCGGAACACAGTCGAAGGAACTCGTCAACTTTTTCCACCTAAGCTCATCCCTGGATTGGAAAAAGAGTAGTCACAGGAAAAAGAGACCGCTGGAAACGATCATTTTGAAAGATGGCGTGAAAGATGGTTTAATCCAAGATGTCAAAGACTTCTTCGCCAGTAGAGAATGGTACAGGGAAAGGGGGATTCCGTACAGAAGGGGATATTTGTTACATGGTCCACCAGGTACAGTTATATATGTATTTTTTTTCAATTAGCCTTATAAAAAATTTCGTAAAAGGCAACTATATACAAATGTACTACCCACTTCGAATAAGGTTTTTCTTCAAAATTGCGCCATCTTACGTTTTTTCTCAACTTTCCTGTTTGGTGTAAGTCTTTCTGTTTGAATCTCCCTCAATCCTGGGCATGGAAATTGAGACAAGGAGAAGTAGTTTAAAAAGAGATGATACTTGTACCGTTCAAACTAAAGTTGTTTGAACTGTAAAAAATATGGCATTATAATAAAACTTACTATTGTTCTACATACGAATTTAAATTAAATCCTTCCAGGAACCGGAAAATCAAGCATTGTTTTCTCCATCGCGGGCGAAATTGGTTATGATATTAGCATATTATCTCTTTCATCCCCTCATTTGAATGATGACGCTTTGACAATGGCTATGAGCAGTGTGTTCTCCAGAACGATTGTGTTAATCGAGGATATCGACGGCGTTTTTGAGAGAAAGGAGGATTCGATAGAACCAACAACCAAAATGGCGGATTCTTGCAGTGTCACGTTCATGGGGATACTTAATGCGTTAGATGTCGTTTCATCACAGGAGGGGAGAATCGTCTTCATTACCACTAATCATATCAAGGTTAGTGAATTATTTTTGAGTGCCATACTTTTTCAAATATCCCTTCACTTTTGTTTGAAAAAATAATTAAAGAAATATATCTCTCATCAGTTTGGAGTGGATATCGTATGTGGTGCGGTGTACAATACTCTAATATCAATATTGGTGAGAGCCAGCAGATATATTGCAATTTCTAAGAACTATTAATTGTTACCTCGTCCACTTGACACCAAAGTGCGGTAAATTTCCATATGGAAATAAAAAAAATGGCGACGAGTTATAAGTTTTGGTACCAAACAATGGGAAAGATATGTATTGTTGCCATCAAGTGCATACATGTATGTCTACACCATGTTGCAGGTGCATATGCAACATTGAGGTACTAAATTTATCCAGATGTGGAGAAAACGCTTTCTAACGTACTCACAGTTTAGATATTTAAAAGTTCGAAATAAATCACCTAAGAAAAAACAACAAAAATCTAGAACTCGTTTTTCTAGGAATTAACATTCATTAAATTCCTCCGTGTTATTTTTCCCACTTTCTCCAATTCAAAACAAATAATAATTTCACGACATTATAAACAAATTTTTTCACACCCTGTTTAGAAAGAATAATTTTCTGTCTTATATATTTCAGAAGTTGGACCCCGCCCTAATTCGACCGGGGCGAGTGGACGTTAAAGTTTCCATCGATTACGCCACAGATTCTCAAATTCAGCAGATGTTTGCCAACTTCTACCCTTACCTGGAGACCGAAGTGGTTAAAGAAATGTGCCAGAATATTTCCATGGCGTTGAAAAAAACTGGGAAGAAGGTATCAATGGCGTGTATCCAAAGTTTGTTTGTTTTGCATAAAAAGAATCCTAAGGATGCCGTCGAGCAGGCAGAACAACATTTCGAAGAGTATGCGGATTCTGAGAATACGGGATATTTAGATTTTTACATGTGACAGCCAACTGAAGGAACGCATACTTAATACCGTATTCTTTCCAAGTGTGCAAATCATTAGTGTATATTATTTAGCTGATCAAAACAATAAATAAAATTTGCCAGATATTGGGTCGATTTTAATGTATCTAAATTATATCATTTTAATATTACATAATCATCCTTATTAAGTAGCGCAAGCTGCTTTATGCGATCGGTTAGTTAGTCTGTCCGTCTGTCTGTCTGTCTGTCTGTCCGTCCGTCTGTCTGTCAACACTATAACTCGAGAACGTAATCAAGTTAATCGAAATCGCTTTGTGGCATCATACATATGACCCCAGGGGGAGGATCCCGTAAACTTTTGAAAACACGGTATCGCCACATCCACAGCGTGCCTGACCCCGAGGCCGCCTTCCTTCACGGGTAGGGAGGACTGCATCCACGCAGCCTCCGAGAGAGAACAATTGAGGATCCCTTCGAGCGCGTCCTTAAGGGTGGCGTCGTAGTGGGTGAGGGCATCCATCTTTCTCCACGATGGGGCGCGACGGAGAAAATAGATAAGCCTCGGGATAGAGATTGACGCGCGCAGGAGGAAAAAGGCTTAGTGGGCCGAGAGACCGAGTAGTAGTTGGGAGAAAGTTGCCAATTGCTGGGTCTTCGTTGCCAGGACAACCCCCAGCGCCTCATTAGTGAGTGGGGAGCCCAGCAGCATAGCAGAATCGGGGGCAACTTGCTGGAACTGGAGGAGGATGTCGATGGCTTCCTCCCGCTCCGCCCCCAATATATCGTCACATCGCCATAGCAACGAAGCAGATGTTGAGTATAGATATATTTGTACAAATTCCTGTAGTTACAATTACATGAAATAAATTACATACAAGTGTTACCTTGAGCCTTAGGCGGAGCCATACTATGGTCGATCCAGAAAGTACTGAGCAAGGGAATTCTCGGGAGGCTAACGCCTATTGTTAACTTATGCTTTCTACTTTCTCTTTACTATAAACTTTCACTTTACTTTCCTATTACTTTCCTATCGGTAATTTTAAGTTCAGCTGAAAACCACTACTTTCACCTTGCCGTCAATTTTTACTTTCTCCATACTGCGGTAAAGTTAAAATTACAAAATTAGAAATGATAGCAAAATTGATCTCACTTTTTTAGCAAATTTATTTTTTGTATTACCATGTGGAAGAATAAATTAAAACTGACCATCTTTCGACCAATTTACAAAAAATATCGAAATTGACATCAACGAAAGGTGCGTACGTTAGAACTATAATTCTAAATATAATTCTAAATATCGAACTATTGAGGTGGAATTGTTTCAAATTTCGGTATCCAAATTTTGGATTGAAAATCGTTTACTCCGATTTTGTAAAACCGGTCAAAAACCGATTTTCGATTTAAGCGAAAGCCGGTTTTAGAATTTTCACGATAACCGGTTTTTAAAATTTTACGCACCCGAAAGCTGGTTATCGATTTAAGATTTCTATCATATTATTTGGATACGAATTATTTGTTATAAAATACTTTATTCCCTAGTTTATATTTAGTTTCAATTTTGTACTAAATTTTCAAATTTGCACTAAAACTGTTTTTGCACAGACTCGATAACAGGGTTTACCAAAATTTTGAAAAACCGTAATAACCGAGAATCGGTTTTTCTAAACCTTCCAATTTTGGACGCCTTATTTCTAATACGAGAACTTCGAGGTGATTCTGAATTAGACCTGAATACGGCTACAAATGTTTAAAGTATAATTTATATATTGCAAAAATCATATTTATTGCATTACATCATTTCAATTTTCAATGAAACAGCAAAATGAAACCATTTTTTCAAAAATTAGTCAAAATTACTTTCACTTTGCCTGAAAAGTAGAATCGCAATGTACTTTTAAAAGTAACATAATAGTAACGGTAAAGTGAAAGTGAAAGGTGAGTCAAAATACCCCAAATGGAAAAGTAAAATCTATGGCAAAGCCAAAGTTTTACTTTAGCTTTGCCGTTGGAGTTAATATTTGCAAAATCAAAAGTAAAATGGAAAAGTGACGGCAAAAGTAGTGGTAAATCCCGAGTTAACATTAGGCGTAAATGGCCGACCTCGCCATAAGCAATAACATGTAGAGTTTGAAAATTCACCGTACGGTCAGTTCTTGACCGATTTTCAAAATTCCGCTAGTTTTGGAAACATTGAACCTGTGGGTGTGGTCATCCATTCCCGCCGAATCCTGCCAAACCATCACATGCGACATATCATTTTTAACAGCTCGGTAAGGGGATTGCGGTGACGAAATTAGAATTTAGAAAACCACACCCCCTGTGGGTGTGGTTACTGATGCCATGTGACTCCTACGAAACCACGTCATGTGGCATCTAGTTTTTCTCAACAGGCCAAAAAGATTACAATGACTTACTTCAAATTTGAGAAACCACATCCCCAACAGGTGTGGTTCTCTGGGTTGTATAATTCTTCCGAAACTATGCTAGGGGACATATCGTTTTTCTCATCATAAAGATTATAGTCGAAAAACCATACCTCCTGTGGTTTTGAAATTGGTTATGAAATTTTGGATTATTCCAATTAACATAGGTTAGAAGTTACCTACTCACCTTTTGGGGTAGAGGACAGTGTAAAGTTAATTACTTCACAGCAATCCCCTTACCGAGCTGTTAAAAATGATATGTCGCATGTGATGGTTTGGCAGGATTCGGCGGGGATGGATGACCACACCCACAGGGGGTGTGGTTTTCCAAATTCTAATTACGTCACCGCAATCCCCTTACCGAGCTGAGAAAAATGATATGTCGCATGTGATGGTTTGGTAGGATTCGGCGGGAATGGATGACCACACCCACAGGGGGTGTGGTTTTCCAAATTCTAATTACGTCACCGCAATCCCCTTACCGAGCTGAGAAAAATGATATGTCGCATGTGATGGTTCGGCAGAATTCGGCGGGAATGGATGACCACACCCACAGGGGGTGTGGTTTTCCAAATTCTAATTACGTCACCGCAATCCCCTTACCGAGCTGTCAAAAATGATATGTCGCATGTGATGGTTTGGCAAGATTCGGCGGGAATGGATGACCACACCCACAGGGGGTGTGGTTTTCCAAATTCTAATTACGTCACCGCAATCCCCTTACCGAGCTGAGAAAAATGATATGTCGCATGCTGTGCTTAGGTACGGTCTTGGAAGAAGCGCTGATTGCCACACCCCACCCTCGCCATGGGACCACCCACAATGTCATATCACTAAGGAGGGGGACGTGGGTACGATTATACGCGGTGGCGACGTCAGAAACCATGTGTGGAAGGAATTGTTTGTCGCCGTAATTCTTGGTGCTTGACTTTGGACCACCCCCACAATGACTCCGAAGCAGGGGGTGTGACCAACTAGTTGTCAATATGACGGCCTGGCTATTTCAAACATTGCCGCCAAGAATTTACGTCGACGATCTTCAAATCCGGTCGTAGAAATTTCTAATTCTTATTAAGAAATGTTACTCGTTTTCTGACCTTGTGACCTCGATAGCGAGGGGGTGGGGCTAAATTTCAAAAATCTGAAATTATATATTTCGCGCAAGGGTTCAATGTTTCCAAAACGGGCGGAATTTTGAAAATCGGTCAAGAACTGATCGTACGGTGAATTTTCAAACTCTACATGTTATTGCTTATGGCGAGGTCGGCCATTTAGCCTTTTGGTATTATTAGCATTGGCCTTTGTTCTATACTTTCTGGATGGACCATAGCACATGTATAAAAATTGGGAGCCGGCAATTAGCTGTAGTGCTAGCGCCGCAGACTGGCTTTCGGGCCAGTCTACCCACCCAATACATGCATACATACCTTGAGCCTTACATTAAAAATGTATAAATAAACTATAATTATTTTATAATTTTATATAAATACTTATATAAGGGTTCAGCTACTTTTAGATCGTTTACTGCTTGATTCATTAGCACATTGTTGCTTTCCTCTGGGCTGAAATAAATAGTTGGATAAACAATTTTCAGTTTCAAGTTTCGCATGCTAAAGAAGTCTTAAGGGGGCGGTTCAAAATACCTTGGTTACATGGGGACTTCGCTTCTCACTTTTGCCCCCACTAGTTTTGAGGTATAGGAGTGAGATAAAATTTCCAACTCACTTCCGATATTTTGTTAAAATATCCAAGAAAATTTTAAAATTCACATGATGCATCAAAATTCCTTGGATGACACGAAATAATTATTATAAAACATTACATGTTTTGGGACTTGGTTCACTTTCACGAGAGAACACTTTAATAAAATGAATTTATTCTTGTTTAATTAGTTAGGTGCACTCTTTATGGAGGGCAACAAGTCAGTCTGGAAGATTATACGGTTTTATAAGGTATACAGTACTAAGCAATATGCGTTGCAAACGATGTCCTCAGCATATATGCTGTATTTGCTACCAATTGGCAAAATTTAACAACTTTCACAATGACTTGTTGCCTTGTCCAGACTCTTATCGATTTTATAAATTATGAAATCTACGATCAGTTGAGTATTCATCGCAGGATTCCTGCCCGAAGTTGAAAAAAATGGGTTGGGTCGGTCGTTGCTCTGTTGGAACGATTAAAGGGCAAGCCTAATTAATTAATGCTGCTCAGTTTCCAATATATGTATGCAATCATGAGTTACGTATTACATGTATTATTAGTACGGAGGACAAGTCACTTTTGGGATGAAAAAGGGATTTGCCCTCCAGCGTAGCAAAACTCCTAGAGAAGCGCCTCTTTGCTTCTCTTCTTCACTCTTTGTCTGTCTGTTCATAAGTCCATGGTCTAAATAAAACCTTAAGTTGTTTCCTTTTCACACCACACCACAAAAGCATTTTGTATACATTATTATTGGCATGACTAGCATCGATTAAAATAATCCCTGCTTCATTTTGGTGACTCTTGATGTGTCACCAAAATGTCTCACAGTTCTTCGGGTGTCTTAGTTTTCGTGTTCTTGTGTGTGTTTGGTGGTTTTATTCTTTTTGCGTTTCATTGTTGCTCCCCCCATGCCTTGGAGGGGACGCCTTCCTAATTAAGCTACTGGGGAGAGCACCTTTCAGTTACGCCAGTGTCGACCATTTTTCGTGTGTCCATTTTTTTGCGGAT